TCCAGCTTTTAATATACACTTGTTGCAAGTGGTAACAGTTCACAGAAGACTGTGCAGACTGTCTGCAGCAGGAGTCAGAAAGACAGGACAAAATGAAACTCAGTGTCCACAATTCAGTTGAATAAGCCTCTGCAAAAACTTCCACCAAAGAATTTCCCAATAACAACATCCTCCTGTAGTACCAGATAATGTACAATTTCTAAGTACAAACTATATGGAATAAATTTAACCTACAGAGGCAGTTTGCTGTGACACAGAGTTTGTGCAAGTATCACTAGACATGAAAGCTCTTCTAAATATTGTGACTTATGCTTCTATAGTGGAAGAATGAAATAATATGCATCTACTTAAAACACTAGAAAAATGAGGATATAATACCGGCAGTAACATCTCTGTCCCTAATATTAGCACATTATCAATGTCAGCACATCAAAGAAAAACGCCTCTGACAATACTAATGCCCAAGCTAATTTGTGAGGACATAAAAAGGGATTTAGGATCTTTAACATTTGTAAAATATTATTCTGGAAATCAGTGATCAACAGTATTAGAAGTTTTAAATCCACATTTGAAATTCCAACTGCTTTGAAGGTAGCCTTCAGAAACTACCAGAGAAACTGTATTAATTTGGTTACCACCATTAGGAGTCTTCTGACCAGTGTGGAAGAGTATTTGTTTCAGAGATAGGAAGCAGAATTTAAAAACCACTTGATACTGAATGGAAGTTCCAGGCAGTTGGGAGGCTTGAATCAATCAATCCCAACTGCAGAGCTCCTCAGTCCATATCAAATGAAACTGAATCACACAGATATTCACATCTTTTTGTTTTATACTCAGTACACCAGCACAGACCCTTCCTTAAGTCTTATGTAAAGAACTGCCAACGCTTTAGGATGAGCCTTAAACACTACTGTGGTATTAACTTGCTTACAAACACAGTATCCTTATACTTTTCCAACTTTTTAATGTTACCCCAGGGAACTGTTTCCACACATACTGTTTCCAGAATGCAAAGAAGAAACACAAATAAGCAGTAACAGTTTTCCTAAGGCACAAAGGAGCTGAGCACCAGTGCAACATTTCCGAGAGGAGGTTTCATTGCAGCAGTGCTCAGTCACAGCTATCATGCGTAGGCCATGTGCTGGTGCTGGGCACGGCAACATTATTTCATCCGTCTGCAATCAACAAAAAAATCACTGTAGCTCTGCAATCTTATGACAAGCATATGCCTACAATAACAGCACTCACTCTGCAACTACTGCTCAGTTCCTATTAAAGGACTGTAACTTGTTATTTATGAGCATTAATGTCATCTTTACAGAGTTTTCAAATCTCTCTCAGGAAGTGTTAAAAATGCTGAGAATGTTGCCGTGGTAGCAGACATATTATATTTAGTAAATGAACTCTGAAGTATTCTGTTGCATTAGTTAAACATTCCACTATATTTATAATACTCAAATGATTTTGTTTCTGTAGAAAACCATCAGCATCCAGAGTACAGATAGTAACAAGAGAAAAAAGTGCTCACGTTCTATTGGGGATTCTTCAGGAAGCTCTGGGTTTGAATACTAACACAGTCAATGAACATGTTGTTATAAGCACTTCTTTTGAAAGTGAAGAGCATTCACAGCTCTATAAAGTTCCTTAATTCTTTTGTATGAGCGCCAGAGTTACATATGCTAAAAAAAAATAAAAATCTTATACAAAAATGAATAAAAAACCAGCCCTTACTCACATTTGTAAAGCATCTGCTTTTGTTCCTTAGACAGTAACAATACAATATCTTTTGTTCAGAATCATTTTATTTGGATTATAGCAATTAGTATCACTGATCAGTAGGCCAAATCCAGGCAGAGAGCACAGAATCAATTTCACAAGGCAACGACACGGACTAGTATTTTAGCATACAAACCATTTCATTGCATTATCAAGTTGAAATACCTTTCAACCATGCATATAAAGTCTATGCTTAATCTTTCAGAGCTCCAGGTAATACCAGGTTCCTAAATATACAAAAAATACATTTAACTTATAATAATCTTAGTGAATCAGACTTATAAAATTACAATTTGATTCTTCACAACATAGAAAAAAATACAAAAATGACTGTATATAGTTTTCACCCAAATTTCACTGACATATACATCAAAATACGTGATTTGATGTATACTCATAAACGTTTTAAGCTGAAAGATAGGTTTTAAAATGACACTGCAGATTGGTCCACACAAATGCCAACCTTCATAATGATAACAAAAAACCTCTGATAGAAACATCACATTGTGGGAAATTACAATTTACCTGCACTGTAACCTGCATCTTACTGTAATTTACAATATGAACATTTCTACAATTCCAGTTGTAAACTCTACACTGGGAAGAGCCTTGGTCTTTTAGAGGGGAGTGACTAACTCAGACAAAGCAGGCATGGTAGAACTTAAAGTGCTGTCAACTGAACCAGTGCACACAACAGAGACTACCAAAGCAGAAATGCCTGCTGGTTTGGAGATGCTGATAGAAAACATGCAAGCCAAGTGAGTAGTCTGGGGGGAAATAAAATCCTCTGCATTTGTGACAGTACCAATCAAAGCTTCTATTGTAAAGTTCACATAACCACATTACAATTTCATTGACAGATGAGGGAAATTTCTTATTTCCTGAGGAGGAAAAACCCCACGTGTGACCAGAGTCAGCACTAGGGAACAACCCAAACAGTATTAGGGCATCACTACAGTTCCCCCTCAAGATCACCTTCAAGTGATTTCCATGGAAGATAAAACTTGAAAAAGCACTGCAAGGTGAAGTGCTGAATTTTTGTACATACTAATTGCATGTTCACACTTCAGAATATAATTTCGAAGTCAACCTTGCTGATAAGATTTCTTACTATCAAAGCAATTTCTTTTTCTTTTGAAAGGAAAAGTAACTCCAGTTTCTTTCAAAAGGCTGTGGTTTATTTGCATTTGTGTGGTAAATTAATACTTTCAATTAAAGTAAGTATTTCATAATGAAGCTTACTGAGTAAAGGTGTTGGCTGTACAACCTTTCTCCCTACTGGCAGCTCACTCTGCTTTTCTGTGGTGCCAATGGTACTGACTACAGATCTGTACTGTATCTTCCTCATCAACAGAGCCATGAGTTTCTTTCATATAGGATTATACACAACCATTTTTCTTCTGCAAATTGGAGCAACAACTTTGAAACCAAATCTTTTATTTGGGCATGGCAATCAAATTAAGAAAAGTTCAGGAGCTGAGCATCGATAATATCCAGTAACCTAAGTACATCAGGAAATCAGATCTTTTAGATTATGTCCTTCAGAAAAACTGACATAACTTCTTTAGTAGCAAGTATAAGCAAAAGATGTTTTGTTCAGAGGTGGAAGTTTACACTTTTGAACAATGGGTTCAGTATAATGTAACATTTCTCAGATCAGTAAAACAAAGCACGTAACTTCATGAAGAAATGAATTGAAATTGTTGCATCTTTGAATCTGAAACCACTTCACAGTCGTATATGGCCACAGGAATAGAGTCATAGAATCATTTAGGTTGGACAAGACAGATCATCAAGTCCAACCATTAACCTAACACTGCAAAGTCCCACTAAATCATGTCCCTAAGCACCACATCTGCACTTCTTCTAAATCTCTCCAGTGTTGCTGATTCTACCACTTCCCTGGGCAACTTGTTCAAATGCTTGACAATCCTTTCCATGAAGAAATTTTACCTAACATCTACTCCAATCCTTCCTGGGTGCAACTCAAGGCAGTCTCCTCTTGTCCTATTGCTTTTAACTTGGGAGAAAAGACCAACACCCATCTTGCTACAACCTCCTGTGTTTTTGAATGCAGCCAGTAACTGGCTCCAAAATGTTTAAAATAGAAGCAAAGATTTTTATTCTCTCACCCTCCCCCTGCTCACATTAGTCCTGTTTGTGTTGAACAGAAAAGGTGCTATATATACTGAGAGTTAGGAAAATTCAGTCAGACCTTTTGATGGAGCCAAAGAAAATTACTGAAAAATGTGAAGTTTCTTTAAATACAGCTCTGACAAGCATAAACCTTGATGACTAAATCCAGCTCTTCCCAAGTGCCAGACCAGAGAGCCTGTGCCCTCAGTGCTTCCTAGCTATGTTTAGGGAGAGCTGTGATGCGACAAGCACAACTGGGCCACGTCCAGGGGGAGGTGCTTGGCAGGCACAGCATGAGACAGTACTGCAGGTAGCAGTGCTGGTCACACCTCATTTATGCACTAAATCATCATGTTACAAGAGGGAAGCCAGAGAAGCCCACGTGGTGTAGTCTAATGACTCTGCCTGGGTGAAGACAGGACTATTTGGCTGCCAATTCCTAACAGAGCAAAGGCCATAACCTACATTTCCTTTCACCTTTGCTTGGATATCTGTTCATTTCCCTGCTCCCTTTGTCCATTCCTCACCCCTTTGCCCCCAGTCAAAAGTTTCTTCATAACTCAGGGCACTGCATTAGTGCCTTCTGCCTCACCACAAGGCTTTCTTGGTTCTTTCATTTTCTGTTTTTCCTTCCAAGGAAAGGCTAAGCCTGAGAACCCATAGAAAGCACCTAGAAAATATAACTTTCTATGTTCTTCCACTCTTGGAAAAGAACAGATGTGGGAAGGCTTGTCCAGTCTGCAAAAGCAGCATGTAACACATGAGATAATCTGCCTTCAAAGGAGCAGTTTATGACTTAGCAACACTTCAGAAGTTGAGAGCCTGGAACTGCCTGCTTGGATGTGCCAGAGTGATACACATCAGTCGCTTGAGAAAAGTTAGGCTGAGGAACAAGGCCCCCAAATGATTCCCCAATAGACCAAACAGTCCTTGGCACTGAAAGATGAGTATCACTGCCAGTGCTTTAGAGATGATAATTTAAAGTAAAAAAAGGGAGAACTGCACCTGTTTCTGGGTGACCTGCCCCCTTATCTTGCTTGGATTCATTACTGATATCACTAGAAATATTATAGTTAGTACTATTTTTCTTTTTAATATGTAAAAAAGTATCCAGGGATGCAGTACTTAAGAGGAGTTTTAATATTTCAGATAAGCATCATAGCCTCTGAATGAACATTAGCATTTGAGTAATCAGCTTAAACAAGATCTTCACTCTGGTCAGACACTGTACTTGTACTGTTTGAATTCCTGAAGAACCACACAGCCCTCACTTCCCATAACTGGTTTCTTATTCTTGTTCCCATCACCTTTTAAATACACAACCTACCTTTCTAAATTCAAACACTTTGCCCAGATTACATTCTCCACTGAAGTCTCTGACATTATCCTGAAGTATTCCAGAGCATATTGTTTGCTTTCACAGCAATACATACAGTTTCTGGCATGCAGTCAAGCACTTAAAAAAAAGAGGTATTGGTAATATAATCCCAATTCAGGCATTTAGTGGGTACAACTTCATCACTCATACTGCAACCTTCAGGCATTTAGTAACAAATGAAAACCATTTAGCACATCATTTAAGGAAAGGTTAACTGCCAAGCCATATAAAGTTTGAAAGTTTTCTGAAGCACTGCAAGCTGAAAATTATTTCAACGTTTTACATTGTGGGATTTCAGTGAAATTAGATTTATTTGTTGTTCTTGCTAAGTTATTGGTCTTTTATCTCTGACTTATCTTGGTATATTCTTTACAAATGTGCTGGATATTGAAAAACTGCAGCATTTTGATGTTTGAAAAGTTCTGAAAAAGAGTTGGAATTACTCCGACTTCTTGTGTTCTTCAGTGTGGGAAAGCACCTTTCGCCTCTGATGTAGCATATGAAAATACAGCTGAGGAAAGACTGAAGAGAAAACAGACTTAAGTAAATGAAGTCTGAACTGAGGCTTACATGTCAATGCAAGATGCACAGTCACATGGGCAAAGTCACCAATTCTCTATTCAAAGAACATGCTTATCTGCTTTTTGCTCAAGTTATCTACTGCCTTTTACACTTTAAAGAGAAGAAGTGATATGGTTCTTAGGTTTCAGGTACTATTTATTTGTTGCTAGAGCAATCACATTTTTAATTACATGACAAATGCCTTATTTAACTCTGCATGTACAAGCAGATGGCAAAAGTCTCCTGAACTGCATGCACATGATAGACAGAAAACAGACTGAAGGGAGGAAAAAGTCCTTCCAAAAGAATGAGATTTCCGAATTTGTTTCATTTCTTGAAATTTTAGTGTTGCTTTTCCAGAATTTAAGGCACTTGATACAAACTGGTTCCTCTTACATCTCTTCTCTCTCTCTCCTTCACACAAAGCTTTTTCTCTCCTAGACTATTTCTAGACTCTTAGACTACATTACACAGTACATTTGCACAACAACAAAGCAGGGGATAGAAAACATACATACATAAACAGCAAAAGCTAAAATTTCCATGAGACACCAAACCTTTGTGAACCATATGAATATTAAACAAGGTCATCAGCAGCCTAAATTAGTTCTATGTATGCTAATCCCACCATTCTTAGCTTTTCCCATTTCAGCTGTTAATACTAGAACACCTAACAAACTCATACTTACTTGGAATGTAAGAGATCATAACCAGGATCAGGAATGTGTAGTAGTCAAAAGAAAAATTGTACTTGTTAGGTAAACTAATGGAGTACAAGCCAGACTGCCTGACGAAGGGTAATGCAGCATATATTGTGAGTAATTCGCCTGAGACTCCCATTGGATACAATACTATAAACAAAGTGTACCTGGAACAAAACATTTACAGGAATAATTAAAAGGGATGACAAACTCTGACAAAGTATTTGCTAAATGCTACTATGGATATTGAAATTTACAATTCTCAACTCAGTACTTATTTTCATTAGCACTTATTTGATTAGAGCATGGCAAGGTATGAACATTACTGCAACACAAGTATTCAAATCAGCAATCAGTTTGAAATATTTAGAGATTACCTTTGAGGACCTAAAATCTGTCTTCAAATTTATTCTCCCCCACCCCACAGACACATTATTGTTTTGATGCCATTATACTTATATATTGGTTTGAGGCCATTATACTTCTTAAAACAGGGCCAAACATAGTCAATGTTAATCAATGAGATTAATTAACAATTCCTTCAAGTACAACCCGTGGATTCAAGAGTTGCGGTTAAATGTCAGTTTACTTACTGTCATCCCTTGCTGTTAAATATCAGTTTCTGACAAGCAAAATCATTTTATGAATGGAACTCAGTTGTGACAAACTACTCTTTCAGCTTACAATGCAATAGAATTTGTGTAAGGTAAAAATCTGCTGGAAAGAGGCTTGGAAGTCACACTCACAAACTGGGCAATGACCTCAAGGCAGAATCTAATTTTTATGTACTGCAACCATTTCACAAGATAAAATATCCCTGTCAAATCAGTGTTGTAAGGCTATGATTTCTATTATGCCACCGACCTGGCCCATTTGATGAGATAAGGGAGATGGTTTAACAAGCTAAACGTATAAAAAGAGTAACGGATTATCTCGGTGATTGTCCAGGCCACTACAAACAAGAGGACACTGTCTTCACTTTGTACCTGTAAGAAAGCAAAAAACTCAGCGTGAATTCAAGAATTACCAATTACTCACCAGACCCAAGAAAACCTCAAAGAAATCAATTTCCTCAGGTCACTTTACTGCAACATTTTAGAGAACAGACTCCAAGAATGAGCTTAAAAGCAACATTAGTAACAACAGTAAAAAACTCAAGGTCTTATCATGCTCTGTAGTTTTCTAGTTGCTAAAGAATAGTTCTGCGTAGCTTAAGATCTCCCGTTCTGTGCAAGGTAAATTGGTACAAGAAATCCCTGAAATGCTGAGTACAATTCATAACTCTTCTCATTCCTATATAGTACCAGCTTCTACTTCAGTCCTATGATTGCTTCCTACTGCAGTGAGCAGAAAGGATGCTAACACATTAGTCTAACACTTGATATCTGGTTTACACTTTATATTCTGATCCTAGTTCATGCTACTTCTGAGCAGAAGCACTGTTTTCCTCTCTTTACAGGTAAGAGACCAGGTCCTACTTCTGAGCAGCAGCAGAACAGCTACCACCAGAACTGAGGCCGGAGAAGAAACAGAAGCTCAGATTGTCTCCCCTCAGGCAAGCTTGACAACTACCTGATTCACTGCTCCTTACTCCATTTTCTGCTTACTGTATCTAGCATAGTCCCTCTAATGTTACACTCCAGGCATGATCATGTTTCACTGCTTTACACCTCTTGGAGCTCTTATGTCAGTCACACATCACTGAACCAGCATTTACTCTCTCTCTGTATTCTGAAGGTTAATCTTCAAAAGCAAGTATTTTAAAATTAATTGCTATATTTATTACATTTGGGAGCATCATTATGAAGTTCAAGTTTCAGGTGGAGTAACAGTGATGAAGCAGTATATGTGGGGTCACATACCCACACTAAAAACTCCTGAAAGAGCAGACGTGATTTTTATGCAGCCTTCACCCTCCTTCCCTCCCCCTTCCAACACAACTCCCAGCTGTACAAGTACCTTGAGCCCACATTCAGTGGACCATGTGAACAAAAAGAGCTCAACCACAGGGGCCCAGATTTTCTCTTTTCCTCCAAGTCTTGAAAAAGGGGAAAGGAAGTCAGTAGGTATGGGTGGCACACTCTATTCATCTTGGGCAAACTACACATACCAAGACCAAAAAAAAGAACAACATATGTAGGCAACCAGAAACCTTCTAATAGGAGGGGAGTGATCACATATCTTTGTGTAAAAACACTCATGAGGATCACCCATAGAAAGTTTTGTTACAGACTACAAAGCAAGAAGATTTATACAGAAATCCTGAGCTACCCTGGCATGCAGAGCTGCTGTTAATCTGTGTTCTGCTGCATGTAACACTTCAGGACACTTTCACTGCATGTTGCAGCAAATGCACCTTGCCCTTTTTACAAAGGAAACTCTGATCATTTCCTTATATATTAATCTCCCTTATATCATCCTAAAAGGGAAAAATCCAATGAGGATTTCCAGAGAACAGACAAAATCTATTTTTATATTGCTACAGGATCCTAGTCGTGTTCTGGGTCTGCTTTATAACCAAAACTTAGTTCTCAACACAGGAAAGTTAGGAGCACTTCACAGATGCTGCTGTTCCAAAGGAGCAATGTGCTTTGCAAGCACTCCAGAGCTGCATCTTCTGGCCAAGTCGGGAGTAGCAGCTTAGTCAGTTCATCTAAACCTGTGACTCACAGACTTCCACCTGTACTTGGAAACCTCACTCCCTTCCCTAGCTGTGGAAATCAGTAAAGTCAAGAAACAAAAATTCGTAGCTTGAAGTAGCATCCAAGGACATGAGCAAGGACAAGAACCTGGGAAGCTAACAGTGAATGATACACGTGGAAGTAGAAAATCTGACAGCTGCAGTCCAGTCCTATCACAGGTCCACTCTTCCCCATCTGCTTTAATGTTAGAAGTTATTGAAACACTTCACACCATTATGAAACACACACACACAACCCTGTAAAGGTCCCATGAAGAATCACTGACTGTGCCTTTACAGCTTGTTTTATTTAAGGAAGAAAAAATACTGGAACTTGGTGGTTATCAGTTAAGAGTATGTTTCTTTCCACACTCCCATATCCATCGCACGTCTGTCGCTATGAGAACATCTCTTTGAGCACTGCCAATTTTTCAGTACTTCAAATAAAGATGTCAGAGATGCACATTATCAAACCCCTGGGAACTAATTTACAAAACAGTCTCTCAAGAGTCTTATTCATTTAGGCACTGCTAATGCTGCATTTGCATCATTCCTTTTCCAGGTTGAGGATAAGGGGGAAAGTTCAGCAAATAAATAGTACCTTTAATAAGTCACTAAGCCCAGTGCTGCCCTCAGAACTCAATTCCTCTTCCTCTACTTATCTTCATACCAGTCTTTCAAGAAAGTGTTAGACACAAGTCAAAACACATTTTACACTTTATTTACACCTTCTTTGTCCAACTGCGTTGATAGGGGTCAATCATACAACAGGTACAATTTTTTGGCATGTGTTTCAAGCCAATATATCATCAAGGAGGGTCCTGAAGATATGTGAGTTTATCTTCAATACTGTGAACAGCAGACAACGTTCGTTAAAATATAAAAGAAACCACAGCCTTTTAAGATGCAAAGATGAGAACTGGGAGTTGACAAAATAAAGCCTGAGAGTTTTGTTAATGTTCTCCCTTATGCATGGAAAGGGAAATTTCTCCACATTAGGAGTAACAGTTTGACAAATTTGCAGAAAATTTTAAACACATAATTAAGCAATCCAGTGCAGAAGAGTAAAACCAGCAGTGCTATGCAACTGTAATGATTAAAAATGTTGGAACAGCACGTCTCCCTCCAAAGTGCTGGTTCTCTGGTACAGTAATTAAAAAAGGAAAAAAGAGAAGAAAAAAAAAGAAAAAAAAAGAAGCTTCACAGTAGGCACAAAGGACCTGACAGACATTTGTGTTATATGGCATTCCTCAAATTTTATACAGCTTTAAAGCAGTGGTGAATGAGGCTTTTCAACTGCACTCAGCCATTCAGAGTGCTGAACTTTCCAGTGTGCACTTTTTTACTACAATTTAGCCTTAAATATCATAAATTAAGATGTTCTTCCCTCTTTAAGTAAGTATGATTTACTACTGATTGAAGATATCCATTCACAACTGCAGACACTAAGGTCTTAATTAGCAGCTCTATATGCTATACATGTCCTGTTCACAGCACCTCTTCTGACTGTTCTAGAAATGTTCCTCTAAATATATATTATACTTATCTGCAACTTATCTGTAACTGAACCCGATGGGATAAGCAATAAATCCCTGCTGACACCACTTTTTAATTACCCATCAGAACTGGGTGTAGAATTATCCATCAGAATGGAATTGCACAAAGGCTTTCCATGATGTCACCAGATGATCTCATTGTTCACACAAATTCAGAAAGACATCATTTGAACTGAAGGGCACTTTCTGTTCCCATAGGCCTACATCCTTCTAGCCCTTCAAGCTAGGCTGCTCATTCTCTTCCCTCCTTTGCAGTAAAATTCACCAAAGCAATTCCTTTCTGATGTAATGACAAAACACTGTCAAGACCTGTGTGATGTGCCAGGGCCTCCTCCACTACACTAACCACTGTTCCTGCAGTGGAGGTCAGAGGAATCTCACTGCTACCCACAGAAGTGTGTGGTGCTTTAACATTTGCCATGCTTGAACGTTTACCATAACTAACTTCATATTGAGTTTAACAGCACATTAGCACTAAAGTCAACAAAAAGCACAAACGTGTTAGTGGCAAGAAGCATGCTTCAAATCACATCACTTATCTAGAAGTGTGTTCTGACAGATGCAATACATGTTTCTTCTTGCAACTATATTATATACGAAAACAGTCTGGAAATGCAAGATACTGAACAAGCCTCACTCAAAAAGTTAAAGAGGAAAACTGCGTATCATTTTACAAGAACCTCATCATGCAACTGCATAGCTTACAAGTTCCATAAAGCTGTGTGAGAATTTAATCCTGGACTTCACCACGGAGCTCACTTGTGCAGACAGCCCTTTAGAAAAAGCAGAACACTTGTGACACTTGCAATACATCTCCCCAGGTGAGACTGCATGCTCCCTGGTTGGGGAAGGGGAGGGGTCAGAATACAACCTCTTATTTATTTGCTCTACTGCACAGGGCAAAAGCTCATCACAGGATTCCTCATCCTTACCTTTCTTATGCCCACTTTCTAAGCCATTACAAAAAGTAACACAAAATACAGTGTCTTGCAAGACTTGAACCAAGAGACCACACAAGTACGAGAAAAAAAACAACTGCTTGTAATATTGTAGAAAGAATCCTTGTCAAAAATCCAATGATTGCTCCTCTTTTCTCTCATTTTGCTGGTTTTCTCTAGTGACAATGTGGGCTTAAGTTTCATGAAAATCTAACCCACAACCATATTACAGGTTTTCCTTTGATGCCTACCAGACAATACATGGAATAATTCCAATCCAGACAATCTAACCTTTAATATTTTGGTTACTTCAAAACCAGGAGACAATTCATGAAAACATATTATCATTGTTCTTCACGTAGCACCAGTTATCCCAATAACATACAGGCAACAAGCAAAACTACAAGCATATTTCTTTCCAAGTATTTTATACATGTATCTAAAATCTAATGTCTTGGAATCATGGCTCTTTCTTAATTTAAAATCTAGTATTTATTTCTAGTGAATTAACAGAGACTGGAGCACATTATTTTGCACCACAAGAGAAATCCATCAGAAGAGGAGTATTTGTAAGATTTTAGGTTTATTGAGAAAAATAACATTCCTCCACCTTAAATAGCATGAAACCAAGGTTTCATGTGAATGAGCATCATAACATCAGAAAGGGTTGTTAATTACTAGGAACCACAGTGACTTCTGTTACTCTACATGTGGATGGATGCTCTGGTAACAGGTTTGGAGTAAGGAAGAGAAAGCAGCTTCCCTGAAGACTTGGTAATGAGACAAGCTCCTTAAGACATTCTCCATGTCAAGTCAGAAATAATCTTATGCATATAATGACACTAGATTACTGTCACTTACTTCAGGCACCCATGGTGACACTGGCATTGAGACTAATTTCTCTATTTAATGAGAAGAAAACCAGTTAAGATTGGTTGGCTAAAGTGACAGCAGAGATGCAGAGTATTTGGGCTACTACAAAGATTCAGATGACACGAAAGAGTCAGTCAGTATAACCTGCACCAACTGAAGCATGTTTAGATTTTGAAATGGCTGTCGGGAATATTTTTCAAATAACAGGGTTTCCAGAAGATTCTACATAGATTTGATTAAAGTACAGCACTATTTGGTGTGGTAAGCAATGAGGAAAAACACATAGGCCCCAAAGCCCACCTACACTAGAATGCAAGAAAATCAAACGAATGACAGAGGAAAGATTATCTTGGAGAGTAATAAGGGAGAGCATCCAGGCACTGCTGGCACAAACAGCTGAGGGGGAGCTTCAGCTGCCACGGGTAAACAACACGAATCGTGGGTGCAGGAGGGAGGCAGAGAGGAGATTTCACTATTAATTTTGGCACTAATGAGATCAATACTAGAAGGTTGAGCCAAATTGTGGGTTCTGTATTACACTCTGGGACCTCTTTAACTTTTAGGAAGGAGTGCAAAATCTATTTAGGACCCAAATGTCTTACAGTGAGAGAATTAGACCTCGCTCTATTTGTCTGTCAAGAAAAGATGATATCAGACCTATTTTTATTTCTTTTGATCCACAGAAATTCACATAAACAATCTGGGATACAAACAGAAGACACTTTAAGGAAAATAAGACAGTAATCAACACTTCCTTTTCAGCATGGATCAATAGTTTTTCTACCTGTTTGGTGGCTTAACTTACCTCTTTTACACTATGTGTTACTGCCCACGTCAGGAAAACCCTTGACATCACTTGGAAAGCAGTCAGAACAACAGAAGAGGGAACAATGCCTGGAAAATATTTTGCAATTAGTAAATATTCCTGACTATCAGGGTAGGAGGTAGGGATGGGGAAATAAAACACAGCTAAACCAAAGTCCAGTAATTCGAAATTTTTTGAATGAAAGCATTTAATTTTTGTGATTTGAAAGAATGAAGTCTGTCCTGTGGTGTCTTTACAGAGCCTAATGCAACCCAATCCCCTGACAAGACTTTCTGCATCAAAATGCAAATAAAAGTAATTAGTCTTGTTGCAATCACAGAACAGCTGAATAAGATGAGATAACTTCAATCACGCAGCTTCTGGGATACAGCCTTTCAAATAAACCCTCTTTGATTATAATAACAAGATACTCTTCATTACTGTGATTTAAAAAGTAAAAACAATAAAGACATTTTGTACAGTATATCCCAAAAACCAGCTAGCAAAAACCATGAGTATTTTGCAGTAACACTAGCATGTATTTTGACAGATACAAACTTTATAATTCCTTCCTGGAAATACAACTCAGAAAAAAAACAACCCACAACAAACCAACCCCAAGGAAGAGCTGATGCATTGGTAGGTACAGAAACAATTTTCTCAAAGAAGCAAATATCACTGGTTCTTCCAAGCAAGTTCTGAGATTCTCATTAAACTGCCAGTAGTAAAAGGATCC